TCAGGAAAGCTAAAGGCAGATCAACAAAACTAGTGGTTGGAAGATGTGGAAATTTTCTTCTGCTGATTTCTATTTTCTTCATGAAAGAGTAGGAAAAAATGTCAACAAGAAGTGAGTATTGGGGGAATGGCATTGGTGTGCAGAGAAAAGAAAGTAAGTGTAAGAGTCAGTTGAGGTAATAGTGATTGTAGGGGGATTGCTGGCAGTGTTAAGGGTCTGCTCGAGCTGTATTCTATATGAAATCATCAACATTAGAGCTTGATTGGGTTTTTCTCTTTCTCAATGCAGACTCTCTGGACCGTGAGGGCTAACAGTAGTCAGTATATCAATCCATTAGTTATTATATAATTTATTATTCATTAATGTACTTTACCATTTAGTCACTCATCCATTCGATCATATTTATTGGGTGCCAGACACCAAGTACTGGAGTTACAACAGTGACCAAAATAGACATCAGACCTCAGGGAACATATTTCTACGACATGGAAATACATGAGCCCTCATCACTGGTGGCTATAAATCCTTATTGAAAGCCAGTTAGGAAGTGAGAGTTTCCATATTTAAGCCTTCAGAACTGGAGTCACCTAAGTCCTTAGAAACAAGACTACCATGACAGGTTGGGCCTGGCCAAGGGGCTAAGGACATGCAACCTGCCTCAGGGAATGCATCTGTTTCTCCCACTAGTGCTGGGTTGATGCCATGGAATCCAGCCAGGTGCAGAAGAAAGAAGTGTAGTCTGCCGGAATTTTTGTCTCTAGTGTCAGAGCAAGGACTCATCATGAGCTTCGGAAAAGCTCATGAATTAATGGCCATTTTAACAAAATAGGATCTGCTCCATCCAAATTCAAAGGACTACATAAATCTTAGAAGATACACCTTCTTTTGAACTTTGGATATGTTCAAGAAGCAAATAGGGTATACACTACAAAGGAGGAAGCCAAATCTTGTTTCATCTTCCTTTCTTCCTAACCTGTTTTGTCCCTTTTCTCCCTCATTTCCTTCCTCCTTGATCATTAATTTTCATCTGCTTTAGATTTGTAACAGAATAAAGGTTCTTAGAACCACTACCCCAGGAAGTCATTATTTAATTGCAGGTAGTAGTCACTGGACTCCAGGAAGAAGGCTGACTTTAATTAAAATCAAGGTTTGCTCTGACTCTCTCGGCATCTGGGTGTGAGAAGAGTGGAATGGGGGCGTGGACAATGAGTTCCCTCAGGGAAGAGATTTGGGTCCTCAGATTTCACAACTCAGTTACAAAGGAAAAAAATCCAGAAAAAATTCAAGAATGGAGTGAATGAACTTTGTTCTCTCTTCCTTTGCCTTAACAGATAGTGCTTACCCAGTGTTTCAAGAAGGGATTGTTGGAACATGACTGTGGTTTTCTTTAACTATCATGCAAAGAGCATGTCCCCATGCCATATCTGTTGTTATACAGTAGATGTCAGCCTCCCACAACCTTTCTCTTCCTAAATCCAAATTCATAGCAAAATTATACTTTAAAGGATCAATTTCTTCCCATCTTAAGCATGCAAAACAATTAGTCACTCAACTTAATATGGTACATATACATGTTGATTCTCAGTGAAGCATTCCCAAGGCTGAAATAATGCTATACAGCATTAAAAAAATTTTTTTACTTCAAAAAAAAAATTAAGCATAACAATAGTCAACCAGACACTGGAAACAGAGTTGTACTAAAGGACAGGGTCAAACTTTGTTGTACTGAAAGAATAGGCAAGCCAAGGACATTAGGAAGTGGGTGACAGATGTTGGGGGAAGCGCACAAGTCCTGTGAGTCCCACAGAGCTGATGTTGAGTGCTGGCACAAAGGGAGATCTAGAAAAAGGTATCAACTTGACCCTGATCAAATGTCATCTGTTTTTTTCAAGTGAAAGAAGTTGAGACATCAGCAAGTAACTGTGGTATCCTGGAAAAATTTCCCTGCATAATCCATTGATATCATTGCTTGTCCATGAAGAGATGACCTGTCTTTGCTTTGACCCTAAGTAAAACACTTCTTTGAACCTCAGCTTCTAGATTTTTCTTAAAGATTTAATTTATTTGTGCATACAAGAACTGGGATATTGGCCAGAGGAACAGAAGCTGGTGGTGAGAGGATTCACCAGAAACAGAGTGGATAACAGAACAGGCAGGTCTACTGAGATATACTGCTGAGGGGAGCAGCTGGCAAGACAGGAGAGGTCTGCTGTGCCATGTGGGCCACTTCCCTGGCCAGGGAGTGAACTCATCCTGCAATGGCTTCAGCTAGTGTCAAAATGTTGCACTTTAACCCACTGTGCCACCAGGGAGGACCCCAAGAATGAAGAAGAATTTGATGTTCAAAATTTAGTAAATCATTTAATCATCTCTCTATATTTGTCTCAACATATTACACCGAGACTTTTCTTTCTCTCCAGAGTTCAATGTTAGTCACCTAGAACTTTGACATAGGTTTTATTTTACAAAAAGACACCAACCTAAAGAAAGCCATGTCATATGGATAAATACTCCTTCCAAAAATGGAAAGAGTCCTTTCCTAGACCTTATGTTGTATACCTAGTAGATAGTCATCATCCACTTGTAAATTCCAAGTGCTAATGAAATTGAAATAATTATCTTCAACAACTCTTTCCAGTTTGCTATTCCAAGAATATATTTATTATATTCTATTCCAAGAATATACTTACGACCCTCTTCCCCCAAAGCTACTTGTTTATAAGTTAAAATGCCTAAGACTTACCATATCGTGGTCTGTTTGTACTGGTTTTGGGAAGATGCCTCAAATTCATCACATTCTTGTTTTATGTCACATTGAATCTATATACTTTAAATTAGAAATATGAACATCAATGAAAGAATCATGTTTAAAAAGCAGAGAGATTATGTTATAGCTTGATGCTGAAGTTTGAGCAGAGGTCTGTAATCATGTTATTTAAAAATAAATCCATCAAACTTTCCCTCAGTGCTTTCTAACTTTGTCAGGAAAGGCCAGAGGCAATTCCAATTAATTTTTTATCTCCCATGACTCATGCCCTCCCCAGGAGTTTTACCCTATGTGTTTTTTATTTCCTGCTTTTCTGTCCCCTACCCCCCTTTTATTTCTTGCTGAGGCTTTCAATTTGTTGTATCTTGAACTGACAAAAGAAGGGCTTGAACTCCCAACCTTTGAAACATCCTAGTACGTAGTTGCTGAGTGATCCAGACTACTGACTGGACTTTATCCCATTTGGAAATGCCTTTGCCACAATGGCTCACCCCCAAAGCCCCCGTCTCCCCTTCTATGGTATTAAGTATTTATTTTACTTAAAATCCAAAATCTTTGGAAGATTTTTTGCAAAAGTGAAATCCAATTTCTGTAACTAGTGGTCAGTTGAGAAACTTATCTTTTGATTCACTTTTTTAAATTTTTATTTTTTAAAAGATTTATTATTTTTTTTTTATGCATACAAGCTCTGGGGTATAGACCAGAGGTGGGGTGGGAGGACCGAGAGGATTCACCAGAGACAGAGTGGGAAGCAAAACAGGCCTAAGGACTGAAATACACTGCTGAGGGGAACGGGCAGGGAGACAGGAGAGGTCTGCAGTGCCTTGTGGGTCAGCTCCCGGGAGGGGGATGGAACTCCTGCTGCGGGGGCTGGGATCGCTTCATAGTGCTGAGACTTAACCCTTGTGCCACCAGGGAGCCCCATTAGGTTCACTTTAAAATCAAATAACTTTACACAATATACTTAATTCAGATTTAAAATAACTTAATTTTTAAAATTATAATGATCTCATAATGCATCTAGTGTTTTAAGCACTTTACAATTGTAATTAGGCAACATTGCTCTCACCCCTGAGGTAGTTTTTGCCTGAAATCTTCAGGGAAGCAAAGAATATCAATATGCTAATAAATTAGTCATTTCTTAACATCTTGGAAATGCCAGTAACTCCCATCCCGACCTCATCTGCCTTTCAGATAATTTACAGATGCAAAAACTATCAGAAGCTGTGAATTAGAGCTGTGACGAGCGAGTCCACCATTTCTTCCTGGTAATATTGTTTCCATCCTGCTCTTCCCGCCTCACCCAATGGTACCAAATGAATCTTTTCCCCGTAATTCTTAGTTGTCCCCTCTCCCCGCTCACCGTGGATTTCCACCTATGCGGAGAAACTTAAAGATGATATCCCTACGGCCCTCTCTCCTTTATGCTCAAATGATCCCGGCATAAATATTTTAAATCATTCGCTAGTGTCTTTCGGGTGGCGTTCAAGTGTCTGCGCAACCGGTCCGTTCATTATAAAGCGCACAAACGCTGTATGACCTGAATGAACTCTCTCGGAACAGCTAACACGGATGGATTTTATTTCCACTTCTTACCAGGAGAAAGAGAGGCGACTCCAACAAGAGATATTTGGATCCATCTCTCGGCGATCTTGGGGGACTGCTAGTACTTAAACTGAAGAGAAGGGTGGAGAAAGACGAGGATTTAGGGGAGCAGAGGTGGTGGGGCGGAGCCAGCTCCGCACATAAAAGCCCTCGCTCGAGTGCCGGAGTCACTCTCCCGTAACCAAGAGAGATGGAGCAGTCTGTGCCGTAAGGACGGAGGTGACAAGCAGGAAAACAAGGGCAGCGGACTAGCGAGAAAGAAGTGTCTGGCAAAAGCAGACGGCAGAAGACCTGGAGGGCAAACGGAACCCACAGCAGGTGGAGACAAGATCTAGAACAAACCGGTCCGGTCCACAGTTGTTTTTCTGGAAGAGAAGAAAGTGCAGGGGTATTGCCTTTACCCCCTTCCGTTTATGAAGACTACTTTTATCCTCTTCAGAAGAGAAAAGGCTAAGGGAAAGTCAAGGCACTCTGTTTACTTAGAAGCGCCGAGGGAACCCAGATACTCCCAGAAGCCTCTGAAATAACCCACAGCCTGGTATACGTTGCAGATCCACCCTGGTTTCTGAGGATCCACATCCCTTTCGGGAGCATTCCAGCCGGAGTAGCTGGTACAGTTCTATTTTTATATTTAAATATCTGTGTCTCTCCCCCCCCCACCCCCTCTAACACTTTCCTTGTTTGTAAGCACAAGTGACAAGAAAGTGTCAATCCGGAGTAGGAATATTTTTAGTTTTCTCTTTTAGCTGCCATTATCTTTTTTTTTTTAAGAGGTTAGGAGTGGTCCTTATTTCAGAAAAGAGCATCTTAATTGGAGAGGCTCTCCCTCTAAATAGATTTATACCCATACCCATTTAGAAAGAGCTACCTTTTTCAGAGGTTGGCATCCTACTCAGAAAGATGGAAGAAGGAGCCAGGCAGCGGAACAGCACGGCAAAGGGCCACCCAGGTGGGAGCGAGGCGGCCGCCAGCCCCGAGACTGGTTCCGGAGGGGGCGGAGTAGCCCTGAAGAAAGAGATTGGATTGGTCAGTGCGTGCGGTATCATCGTAGGTGAGTCCAACTCCTTTCCCCAGACCTCACTCCCCCTCTCCAGTGGCCCTCTTGTCGACCTTTTAGCTTTGTAATGTACTCGTGTCCCTTTTCACTCCCTTAAAAATCCAGTCATGTGTGTGTAACAGCACGCACTGGTCATGTTTGAGCGGTGGAGGAAGGGTGTATGTATGTCAAACGTCTCTTCCTCCAACCCAGGCTGAGCAGTTCTGAAAAGAGCAAATAAGGTTACACGGATGTCAATGGTCAGCGATGCCTGGGAGCTTGTGGAAAATCCGGATCTCCGGCTCCACACTGGGAGGTTGGGATTCGGTAGGCTTGAGGTGGGGCTAGAAAGTGAATTTTCTTTTTTTATTTATGCATACAGAACTGGGGTACAAGCCAGAGGTACAGGGGCGGTGAGAGGCTTCACCAGAGACAGAGTGGGGAGCAGAACAGCCAGATCAACGAAGTACACTGTTGAGGGGAGCAGCGAGCTGGTCAGGAGAGGTCTGCTGCACCATGCGGGTCCCCTCCGGGGCGGGGCCGGGACCCAAACTCACACTGAAGCGGCTGCGGCCTGCTTGCATTGCTGAGTCCTAACCCATTGCACCACCAGAGAGGGCCCTAGAGAGTGAATGTTTAAGAAGCTTTTCTGCAGCCATCTCCTCAGCTGGCTTTTAAGCACATTCAGTATTTTGCTGTTGTTTTGATATATGAAACTTTTCTGTGGGCCTAGGTGAAGTGTAGTGATAACAGCTACACTAGTAATAACGCTCTGCCTTTCTGTAGCTGTCCATCTGTTGCAGCACTTTCACTCTGTGAAGTAGACAACAGGGTTGTAGTCCCATTTCCCAGATGAGGGAATAAGTTGTGGAGGAAAAAGAGACAGACTGTGCCTGTCTGCACCTGTATAGTCTGCGGTTTCTCTAGTCGCCTAGTGGAGTTGACCCATCTCTGTCCATATATCCACAGAGACCCTGTGAGGTTCTTGCAGGGAACTGGGAATAGCTAGACTATGGGGCCAAGGAGGAACAGACAGGTAAAATGTGTACGTGGTGAAGACTTGGATGGTAAACTTCTCTGGGGATGCGAGGGCATCATTCCAACCCCCCTAACTGCACTCTTATGGGCAGGGGCCCCAGAGAGACCCTGGAGATGGAAGGGCAATGGCTCATGACGGTCCTCACTTCAGGGTTAAAGTATCAGGCTGCATATTTTTCTGTGTCATCTCTCCATAGCTCCTTTTGAGAGTTTATTGTCCTGGTGCCCATGAACCGGTTTCTCTGGATGGTCGACCCTGTGGACCATGTGGTGGAACAGAGACATTTGGCACCCAAGCAACAGTGAGAGACACTGGAGTACAGCATTCAGATAATCCCCTTCACCTCTACACCCTGATTTGAGCGATCTCGTTATCTCCACTCTGTTTTCAAAATGAAAAGCCACTTGATCTAATTCTCTGACTCAGGGAGGTTTTCCAAGCATCCACAGTTATAAGAAAGGTAATGTTATAAAAAAAAAAAATTGAGTCATGATCTGAATGTCACTACCTTTACTTTGCCTCTCTTTCATTTCAGCTACTCTAAAAAATGAGATCAGCAAAGTACTCAATATGTATAGCACATGCCAATTTAAGGTCTATAAATAGCACAGAGCCTGTTATCTCCTTCACAGGTTTGACTGATAGGATTAAGCATTTTCCTCCCTTTGGGGAGCTTCTGATTCATACACAGATGTGCACACCCACATGCACACGAGCCCAGTCAAACCTCCCTCCTGCTTGGCCTCGCTCATCCATCTCTTTATATACTCAGGTATTCGAGAACAGAGGGTATGTTCCTATACATTCAGGTTGTCTTATCTCTATCTTTATCATTTTTTTTTCTAAGACTATGAGTGTTCAGGTGTAAGAAGTACAGTTTCAGTTGGGTGGCTGTTACTACTAATTTGTCTCAACCTTGTAGATGTCACTTCAATGACAGTCCCGATGTAATCATGGCATTACAGTTACAAGAATAATGTCAGGGTTGTACAGAGAAAAGAGATCTTAGTCTGTGATTTCAAAGAAATCAGGATATTTTCCTAGAGTGTGAGAATCCGTGTGGAGTTAATAGGCAGTATTCTCCTTGCCTGTAAACCAAGATGAGATGCAAAGGTTCCCTCTAGGATGATTGTGAGGCCAGCCCTTTTGCTTTCCCACCCCTGTGGCTGTTGCCTACACATGTGCTCAGCCTGTCCTCTTCCAGAGGGACTTTTGAGCAGATGATAGTGATTCAAGCTTTTTCAAAACCAAATGCAAAAATAGAAATGGCATTTTCTACACGGGATTCAGTGAGCTGGTGTTCAAAGTCAACATGAAGGGAGAGAGACTTAGAAGGCAGAAAGAGAAAGGAAATTTCCTAAGTGGATCAGGTGAATGTGGTATGGGAAAGTAGACATTGCCCCAAATCTATCTAATAGCCAGTTGACTTAGAGAGATATACTTCACATAAAGCTCATAAACTTTTATTCACAATCATCATTTACGATTTAAAGTAGGAATAACAGAATGGCAGTCATTACAGGAATGCTAACTATGAGCTAATGGAAGGTTGGTACCCTAGCATCTCTTAGAGTCTGATTGGAGAGATGAGATTCATGCACATAAACAGAGGACATTGAAAATTAATTTTCATTCATTCATTATTTGGTTCATTAATTAATTAATGATTTGGTTCACCTGTCTAGGAACTGAAAAGAGCAAAATGAAGTGAATGATGGGAAACACAAAAAGCTCTCACTGAAAACTACATTAAAAACATCTTGAAGGATGGGGGTGGGAATGGAGTAGAGAAGAGGATTCCAGGAAATGCTGTCATTATAAACACAATTAAACTGTTACTTCCTTGAGCAAAATAAGGACTCTTGCACCTTTCTGAATCTCTCATGCTCAGCAGAGACACAATTATTCAAATGACAGCTGAATTTAATTGGCAAAGATCTGAACATGTAGTTTATAAGAAGCATTTAGCTGCACCACCAGGAAGGGACCTCTTTTTAAATTTTTTTTTTTAAAGATTTATTTATTTGTGCATACAGAACTGGGGTACAGGCCAGAGGCTCAGGGGCAGTGAGAGGCTTCACCAGAGACAGAGTGGGGAACAGAACAGACAGATCAACGAAGTACACTGCTGAGGGGAGCAGCGGGCGGGCAGGAGAGGTCTGCCACGCCATGTGGTCACCTCCGGGGCAGGCGGGAATCGAACTCAGGCTGAAGCGGCTTTAGATTCTCAGTGCTGTGCTTTAACCCGCTGTGCCACCAGGGAGGGCCCTCTTTTTAATTTTTTAACTTTACTTTTGCCCCAATCTAATCAGGCTAGAGGTTTCCTCTTGGCAACAGATGAATTTGGCAGTTTTTGCATAAATATGTGCCCCCCAAAAAAGGCTGAAGAACGTCTGGGGGAGCAGCAAATTCATTGATTAGTGTTACCAAAGCTACTGTTAAAGGTTGTTGTTATTAAAAACTTACTATATGGCCCCTCCCTGGTGGCACAGCGGGTTAAAGCAGAACACTAAGAAGCTTAAGCCGGTTCTACATGAGTTCCATCCCCACCTGCCCCGGAGGTGAGCCATTTGGAGGTGATCCACATGGCTCTGCAGACCTTTCCTGACCCGCCGCTGCTCCCCTCAGCAGTGTACCTCATTGATCTGCCTGTTCTGCTCCCCACTCTGTCTCTGGTGAATCCTCTCACCCTCCGCATTTCTGGCCTATACCCCAGTTCCGTGTGAATAAATAAATAAGTCTTAAAAAAAAAAACTTACTATATGCCAGACCCTTGTCCAATTGCCTAACGCCCACTATCTTTTTATCCCTTACAATAATCCAGTGTGGTAGATACTCAGTATCTTATCCTTCAGATAAGGAAATAGAACTCAAGAGGGACAAGCAACTTGTTGAAGGTCACACAGCCAAAAATGCAATGACACCGGATTCAAGCATAGAACTTACCTGAATCCTGAGTCAAACTTTTAAGCATTTTTATTTTTTTGTCCTAAAAGGGATGATTTCCTTTGGGCCCCGGGCAGAGGTCCTCATTTGTTTTTAAAGATGAAACAATCAGTGCTGTGTTCCCAGTGAGGAAGTGTCTCGCTGTAAAGGAGAACTGGGAGCAGTCAGCTGGGAGTAGAAAAAGGGACGCTTCTTGGTGCAATTGCAAAAGGCTGCGGAAAGGCTGAGGTTCATTTGTTCAGTTTCTGCAGGATCCGGCCAGCAGGAACCACACTCCTGCTAAGCCCCACGTGTGCATCCTCCTCCTGCAGACTGGCATTCTCCCCAGCCGGGATGGCGCTGCTCACCACGTGCCTGGTTGTTTAGGTTCTTTGTACTGGTACCAGTACCAGTTGTGGATGTAGGCACACACCCAGAATCTAGATTTGAAGATGCCAGAATGACTGCAACCCTAAGGGAAAACTGTCTACAATAGGTCAGAACTTTTGGTTTTCAGCAAGGGTGTATTTATGGGGAAATTTGGTATATATTTGCTGCCCAGCAACACTGGATGAAGGTCTGGCTCCTAGAGCACTCTTTCCCAACTAGGAAAAAAAAAATTAAAAAGTTCTTATGCTATGAACTATATATATATATATAATTTAATCTTGATAATTACCCTGTGGAAAGAGCTATTATGACTATATTTTAAACCTGGGGAAACTGAGTCACAGAGTTGGTAGGTAGTTTGCCCAGGGTCACATGTCTGATTGATTACTGAAATGGTCTGATTCCTTAGCCAAGCTTCTAGCTATCTTCCACTTCTAAATAGCAACCACAAGAGGAGAGACAGGTGGGTGTGTATTGTGTGGTTGGGAAGTGAACCCTGGAGGACAATCACCCTGAGATTAGGGTGCAGAAAGGCCATGGATGTCTGATATTGAAAACATGGAGGAACGACTTTTTTAAAAGGATATTTTTCAATAAAGAGAGAAAGAGAGAGTATGGCTGTTGGCCTAACAATGTTGAAACAGCACTGGGCTGTGGAAAA